AGAAAAAAATTCACATGTTCTTTTTGTGTGTGTCCCTAAGGCAGGTAAGTGCTTCTTTATTAAGGCTTTTGTGTCTAGTTAAAAAAAGAAAAAGAAAAATTAAGTGACTGTTTTTATTTTAAAACGAAAATAATAAGCCATGAAAATAAAGTTTCTAACTTACAGGATGTATACAGTAAAAATTAAAAGTCTCTTCCCCATTCTACCCTCATTGCCTAGTCCTGTTCCTGGGTGCAAACTATTTGAGCCCTTAAATGTATTCACAAGCTTGTGCTAATACTTTTATACATTTTTTTAAAAACATGAATGCAATCATACCAGGTATACTCTGCATGTTGCTTCCCCCGCCCCCGACTTAAAATATATCTTGGATTTGCTTCTCCATGTTCCATAAAGATCAATCTCATTTTTTTTGTTGTTTTACAATGTTGGGGCTTGAACCCAGGATCTTGTGTGTGCTAGGCAAGCAGTGTACCTTGGAGCTATATCCTCAGCACCTCTCTCATTCTTTTTAATGGCCGCATATTTCACATATAGCTATCCTATATTTAACATCCTTTTGAAGGACTTTTAGATTTTTGACCATTTTTTGCTATTATAAAATAATGCCTCAGTGAACCTTGCACACTTTCATGACTGTTAGAAAAATTCCAAGAATCACTTAGTTGAATAATTGCATTAAATTTTTGATAGTTTGATGTCATGTACAGTGGGGATTTCACTTTGTGCTTTAATGACCTGTTTTCATGTTTCTTCTGCCATGGAGTTTCTTTTTTGTTTTGTTTTTATAGTACTGGGCATTGAACTCATTGGCTGCTGATCTTCATTCCCAGCCCATTTTAAGTTGCCCACACTGGCCTCAAACTTAGAATTTTCCTGCCTCAGACTCCTGAGTAGCCAGGATTACCATGCACCACCATGCCCAGTTTGGAACTAGTTTCTTAAAGTACTGAAGATGACTAAGAATGTAACGTAGAGGTAGAATGCTCCACCAGCATGCACTGAGGCCCTGGGTTTAATTCCCGGCACCACAAAAGAAAACAAAACCCCAGGAGGACTTTAAAACAAACAAAAACCTCTGTATGTCTTCAATAACATGTATGTTGAGATGTGCATATACACACAAATAGATATATACACACATATAAACATGTGTTTGTGTGTATATGTCTTTTTAGTAGTTTGCCCATGGTTTAGGTAAAGATCTGAAGGTGAATGATAGAAGATGAAATTACAAAGGTAAGTAGGTGCCAAATTGGAGAATTGCCTGAATGTCAGAAGACCTACAAGCAGTATGAGTAAAATATTAGAAGCAAGAAATGTGCAAATCTGGAAGCATTGTATCCTAGAATCCTTTGCAAGAATCTTAAGATTTTGCTCTACTTTAAAGGAACCCAAACTACAATGTGTCGTACTAGGGATTTTTACAAAAAGACAATGCTGAAAATAGACCAATTCCATAGACCAATTCTCAGGAAGAAAAGATTTTTTTTAAGAGCTTTAGCAAATAAAAATGTGTTTCTGTGTTTAAACTAAAAACATTTAAGGTACATATCATTTTAATGCTTCCCTTCTTTGATTATCTTAAATTATCCCTCTCTTAAATCAAACAGAGGGTCTAGCATAACGTCAAATACCAGTAAAAATGTGGTGAAATTAGCATATTCATTATGTTGCTGGTAGCAAAGCAGTTGATAGAACCATTTAAAAAAATAATGACAGGCAGGCTGGCAATGTGGCTCAGTGGTAAAGCATTTGCCTAGCATGAATAAGATCCTGGGTTCAATCCCCAGCATTTTGGGGGTAGAAGATGACATGGCACACACCTATAATCCCAGCAATAATTTGGGAGGCTGAGGCAGGAGGATCGTAGTTTGAGGCCAGCCTCAGCAACTTAGCAAGACCCTGTCTTAAAATTTTTTTAAATAATTAAAGGACAGGGGATGAAACTCGGCAGTGAAGCACAAAAAAAACCCCCCAAAAAACCATAAAGAGGGCCATGGTAGAACACTTGCTTGGCATACATGAGGCCCTAGGTCCAATCCCCAGCTCTGTAGACACACCATCACCACCACCCCTGCCGCCCCAGACATGCAAGTAATGATCATTGATTGTTATAAAAATGCTCATATTTTCTGATCCACTAAACTTAATTGTAGGAGGATTTTTTCTTTTTCTTTT